TTGAGTACTCGGTATCGATACTTTTAAAAATCGGGTGCTGTCGATCCTTTTGAGAATCGAGTTTTGAGTACTTTTGGTATCGATACTGCCCAACTACATATTAATTATGTAGATTATTGTTAATCTAAAATTCGACGGTTTAGTTCAGACTTTACTGATCCCTATACGTTAAAGCTTTAAAAAGCTTGCAAATATTTAATAAAAATCCCTCATCACTACTCCCCACTGTAGATCACATTTGATTGGCGAGTCTTAGTTTACACCAGCTAGCTCGAGCTTTCAAACCAAGCTTAAACCAGATTTAACCGGGAACTGAAAAACTGGCCCTTATAGTTAGTTGAGTTCCCTTCAGGGATGTATGTAAGTATATATGTACGTATGAATCTATTTATTTTTATTGCTAAATGTGCAAAGTACTAGTTAAATTAAAAAGTGTTTTGCGTGCAACAAATCGTTCTTAGAAATGTCAAAGTTGACAAGCGCATATCATCCATTCATAATACGTAGAGCAATATAAATATTTGAGATCCTAAATATTTAATCTATGTGCAATTGTGCAAATTGTTATTGATGATGATGTTTACTTTATGGAAATGTGCATGTTGATGACAATCATAATTTAAGAGATATTCTTAAACAAACTCACAAACATATACAGGCGAATTTATATACGTACATATTTACAAGCAAGTTTCCGAGTATTAAGGAGCGTCCAGTATATTGTGGGTGATACTGCAAAACGTTCTATATCACTTATTACCCCGGGTGCTTAATTGATCTGTTATCTGTACCTGAACGCTTCTGGCAATCGTTCATCTTCATCAGCCAAAGGTAGACAGTTTTGTCATTCGTTTATTAGGGTGTAACGATTTGCAGATGCATTCCGGTACAAGTAAGAGACCATCTAAGTGTCAAGGGTACTAATAGACATAGGCCGTTTTGCAGTATCACCGGCGATATGTAAACTATGAAAAAAGCTTGCAAGAAAAATTGAAAAAACATGGCTACACTTAATTATAAGGAAATAACGAATAAATAATAAAGATATCTGATATAATAAATATACATAAGTTCCGTAACTATAGCACATCAACTGCAGAGCCCTTGAACCGCCATAAAAATCGAATTAAGCAGTTTATAAATCGAAACTGAAAACCTAGAAGAATCTTTCATGCTTAACCTATTTTGAAGCAGATCTCGTCCCGATTAAAAAATGCCGTTATAAAACATACTGGTACCCCCATTATGGTTTAGTGATTTTCGTTCCCTAACTATAGCACAAATGCGCTTTAAATGTAAACTTTACCGCTATTTGTGCTGTAACTAAAATTGGGGTAAAAAGGGGAAAGTGGCAGTAGGTTTGTTCCACACGAGCCCGCGGGTACCTACGAGTGCCTACAACAGCTTAGAAAGCGTTCCTCACGCCAGAAAAATGGGTAATAGAGAGCGAATACTTTCCACTTTTGGATCGCAAATGTCTTCTTCTTCGTGCCCGCAAAAGCCTGGATTTTTTCCGGGCAGAAATGTCCAAAAAGTCAATTTGAAATAACAGCTGTTGTTTGTTTACATCCGATAGCAAATTTTGTAAAATACAAAAATGGAAAATAGCACTAAATGTTCAGAAATGTATTTATTTGCTAACTTTATTAGCTATATAAGATAAATAAACATAAAATCATTGTTTAGAACTGATTTGTTGATTCCGGGCACGAAAAGTGTTTTTTTTGCGTTCCTCACGCTCTGGGCACTTTTGGAACTGGTTGACACATTTTAGACACTTGTGAGATTGTAACTGATTTTTACGCTCTAATTACCGAAACAGCCCGGAAAACGTGTGGAACAAACCTAGTTTGGCGACGTAGAATTGTATCGGTTTCGTGCAAATGGAATTTTAATTTTTGACGAAGACAGACAGAAGACAGAAAGAAAGAGAAACGAAGAGAAAGTGAAAGAGGAAACGAGAATAAAAACCAAACTAAATTAGAAAACGTCAAAAATGACGTCGCGTTGACTTGGGTATAGCGCGCGCTGACACTCTTTGGCACTCTTTGGCAATTGAAACGGAATTTTTGAATTTTATGTAGCTTTTCGAATACATATGTATGTATGTATGTTTAGCGACAAAAGAAATAATCGTAACGACTATTTTGCAAGTCTATGAGTATTTGTTATTAAGCAGAGCTTATGGTATAATTTAGAATTTTTGTTGAAACTATAAAATTCTATTGCACTTTGTTAATATATGTATAACATATAGGCGGATGATTAAAAAAAAACGAGTGCGCCTAGGCCGCGCTACCGAAGTGAAACTTCTGAAAGATGAAGCCTATCGTCAAGGTGATTCTGATCGGCGCTGATCAGGATTTGGTGCCGCAGAGTGGATGGGAGAATCAGCGGTGAATTTCGCGCCTGCTTTCTCTTTTTAGGTAATATTATTTGTGCTTATGCAAGTGTAATTTAATGAAATACATAATAATTATATTCGTCAAAAGAATATTTTTTTTTTAAAGAAGAAAGAGTTTGCAATACAAGGCGAGAAAAACCTTCACTAATGAAAACATCAATGTCCATAAATTTGCGACTGAGTAACATATGCCATTTCAGCACGAGTCGGAACTAGTACTCTCGCATTGATCAGATTTACTCTCCGCTCCGATCAGCTTCCGCTATGCCCTCAGTCTTAAAGCTTCACCATATTTATGCTCGGCTCAACTTTCAGCGTCCACTCTACTGGTGGTCTTATCCTTAAACCTCTGCTTACCACATTTCTTTATTTCAGATTCATATTAAAGTATCCATTTAGGAGGATTTCCATGCCCAACCATTCACCATCTCCGCTGCAATCACCTTGTTAATTTTTCATTACATTCAAATCTCCGACTTCCAAAGGCGTTATTTTTTTGTTATATCCTATACTGTTACGAACCCTCCGAAATCAATTTCAAGCTGTAAACAGATCGCTTTATTAAGATATGCCACTGAATCATTGTCCAGATTCCAGACAAATTTTGCCTTAGGCCTCTCATAGAAAATGAGAAATTAATCAATATGTTGTCTTTAAAGACTTGAGGCGCTGAAACATACTTACATACAAAGGTGTCTTTACTAAAAGTAGGTACTGTTATATGTATGCTTGTTGAACATGTGTTCCTTTTCCCACGATAATAATTTTTTTTTATTTTGGCCTTTGGTCAATTAATCGATAGATATAAATATTCTACGTAAATATGTGATTACTAAGGTTGCGACTACGTAGGTAAGAAAACATGGTAAAAATAGCAGCTATATTAATTCCTTATGTAGATCGAGATTCTTCTTCTTCTGCTTTTAACTACTTCGTTCCTTTTGGCCTCGTTCTTTTTTGAAGTATACGGATTCTCGCGTTTTTGTTGTTAATTTTCTATGTAATTTTTATTTTTTAGGCCTTGTTGAGTTACACAGAATATTAATTTTAATTGTGTGAAAATAACACAATGTTGCTTGCTAAATGATCCTTCTATCTAATTACATAAAAAATTGCCTGAAAATTCAAATAGTAAAATAAACTGTTAAAGCTCAGTTAGTCAACGACGTAGCGTAAACGTAGGTTGACGTACGTAGCAGCATATAAAATTTACTGTTGATAGAGAGAGAGAGAAGCAAAGGCAACGTCACCGCCATACGGTGGTGAGTTTTCGTTAACACGCGAATCCCATAAGCTAGATCGTGTCTGCGTCAACCTACGTCTACGCTACGTCGTTGACTGTTTGCGCTTTTATTACGCTACAAATAGTTTTCCACTGGATACACTTGTTTTCAAAAGTAAAGAGGACCATTTTTTATTGTTCGATGAAAACGAGACTTTGCTATTTTTTAACGGGATTCCGCACCATAAATCTTTTTCTTGTAAATGATATTTCTCAGTCACATAGAATTTGTTTTGATAACTTTTGATTTTGAAATTTTCACAAAAGTCATTATTAATAAGACTGAAAACGAAAAACGTGGAGCACATGCAATAAAAGCATTAGATTTAATTGACAATAGTCAAACTACATAACATAGACCTAAAATTTCTATAGGGAAAGTAAAAATTTGAAATTTGATTTTAAGCCCTCGTTATTCATATACCCACATACCCACATACATACATATATACATATATTACTTTTCATACCAATTCAAGTCTATTACATGTGCCCCACGCTTTTCATTTTCAATCTCATAAATTGTTTATAATGACTTTTGCTAAAATTTCAAAATCAAAAGTTATCAAAACAAATTCTATGGGACTGAGAAATATTTTTTGTCTACTTTTAGTCCATTTATAAAAGCGTTGTATATTAAAAAGTTTTTTTATATTATTTATTTTCTACTACACACAACATACCAAGTTGATAAAAGCGTTGTAAAATACTGTCGATTTCATTTTCATATAGAAAGCTAACCACTTATTTTTTAGTAAAATCTAATTAAAATTGTTTGCCTTGGTTTGCCATATATATGTATGTATATTTATATTTTACATCGATTTTAAAGTATTTTATTCGTAATAATATATATAAATATGTATATTTTTTATAAATTTCCTTTAATTCATATTGTTTTAATAAATTATCAGTACAAAAAATATGGGTATTTCCATACGTCACATACGTGACAGTCGTACGTTTCAATGAGATACAAACAAGGAAAACATTTGTTTTCTTTTACTTTTTTAGACCATTTTATAGCACACAATTAGCTCTACATTTAGTCTAAAATTTTAAACAATCGAACCGCATGATCCCTTAATATGAGCAATTAACAGTGTCGTTACGTGACAAAAAAAATGGAAGTTGATTTTTTGACCTAAATCGGACCATAAATACGGGTTTTGAAAACATCTTGACCTTGGCGCCATCTAGCAAGACTATTTTACGCAAACATTTTTCTACTTACATAGCCAGTATACATATATTTAAAAAAGCAGATAATTTGGTTCATAAATACGTTAGATATATGACTTGTATTTTTTTTTTGCCGCGGTATACCTTCCGATGGAAACACCCATATATTATGCGTATGTATCTATGTATTTAATTAACAAAATTTGCCTTAGACAAAATCTCCAAATACAAATGGTTTCGTTAGATTAGTTGTCATGCATGGAATTTGGTTTGAGCTGTTAAAGAAAAAATAAAAATAAATTGTTAGTAAACCTTTTGCAAGTTAATGGTAAGCACGTTTCATTAATATTAGTGCCCACCTATTCAACATGAATTGTCGTTTTATCTGGTAAAACTATGGACAAAATAATCGTTCTATGTGAGGCTTTTACTAGCCAGCCAGTTCTGCCTAACCTTACCTAACCTCTCAACCAACAAGCCAGAATAAAATTTTTTTCGAAGTGAAGAAACTGCACCGGATGCGAGAAAGTTTACTATTGAAACGATATCACCGGAAGGGAGTGCCGCAGACCATTTGTGGTTTATGTTGGGTGAAAACTACGACATGCTTTATTTGAAAGGGTTTTTTGGCTCACATTTAATCGGGCCGATTAAAAGAGCAACAGCTTTCACTTTTGGTGGGGGATCTGGCAGGTCACTGTCCATATGTTTGGAAATACGTACGCCATCACTATCTTTTCTAAAACAAATATTGTAGTATGGACCTTCGTGAAACCAGGTTTTGGCTCAACTTCATCACAAAGCCCAAACTTACCCTTATGACTCAAACTTGTCAGGATCTGTCTGCCAATATATTTAATAGAGTTAGACTTTACTTCTTCGCTTTGAAAATACACTTGCAGTATTTCAAGGTGAAGGTTTCGCAATCCAAATGGGGACGGACTAAGACCATAATTGAAACTTTTTCGAGAATAAGGAAAAAAATAATTTGATTGTGTGCAGTGATAGCACAACTCAACTGAAGACAGTGGTCGATCCACCAACTACTTAGAAATTAGTTCGACCCCGCGAAATTCGGCTCGTTTTAAACATAACGAGCTGTTTTGTTCATAATGTCACGTCACACGAATGCACCTGGTAATGGCACATCTGACCAGTTCGCTTGATGGGGTTCATACCAAAAATTTGCAGGCCTTTGTAGGTTTAGAGGTAGAGAGCAGACGGGATTGCAGGAAACTTGTTTGGTTGGTTGCTGGTCAGTTTTGGGAGTTTAAACACTTGCCGTTTGAGTACAAGACAACCACATTTACCATTCCTGCCTTGAAATATAGATAGAAAGACGGAACACTCGTGCTTTTGCCCCCTTTGGAAGTACCCTCTTTGATTGAATGTAAGGAAGAGACATATTTACCTAACAAGGGTTCCTATTCAGAGAAAAATGTATTTGCCTGGCATTAACCTATTGAACCAATTTCTATCCCAAATGAAGCTGAGGAGATGCCAGAGTTTCAACTCCGCTATCTCTGCCAGACCGTTGAAGAAACGTGATCCCAGTTTCTTGGGACACTTCGACCTTAGCCCGGCGACAGAGAAAGTGGTTAAGTGATTCCGTCTCATTCTAATCGCAGTAGCGAGTTTGCAGCGAGTACTAGTTATATGCAGTAACCAGTAATGACGCCGGTATAGACTTTTACTGCAGATCAATTAAGCTTCAGAAATCTTCTGTCTTTTTCCTACTAAGCCGCCGCCAGTAATAATCTTGAGATCGCTCAGAGTTCCCGCTTGTTCATTATTCATTAAAAAGTTAGCAGGGATCAAGGACCTTACAGGAAGCGCAATAATCCATAGAGCCCTCGCAAAAACGCACACTAATGAGTTAGGGCTCCTGAAAAGATCCGACGGATCACTCACGAACAGTTGCATGGAACCCCTTAACTTGCTGGCCGAGGTGCGTTTTCCTGACTGCTTGGCACTGAGCACAGCCATTACCATCCACACGCAGACTGGGATAAAACGCTCCTACGCAGAGGATTGGAGAATCTCCACAGGACTGTTCGACGCGGATAGGATTAGATAGGCTATATCTGCCTCAGCACCTTTCAAAACACCTGGAGCAGATGGAATTTTCTCAGTTCCTCTTCAAAAGGGACTTCTCCGCTTGCTAACCTTCCTGATTCCACTTTTAGGAGCATGTTTTGCGTGGGGGTCGCTTCCACTACAATGGCAGGAAGTGACTGTTCGCTACATCCCAAAAGTTGGAGGAAAACCAACCAAGGTCATACCGACACATTAGTCTTACGTCCTTTCTACTAAAAATAATGGACAGAATCGTACTACAGGTAACGCTTTACATAGACACCAATATGCCTATCTTCCAGGTAGATCTACTATCCACGCTCTTCAAGGTCTAACAAGGAAAATTGAAAAGCCCTTGGAGGACAAAGAGGTGGCGGTGGTATGTTTATTGGACGTGGAGGACGCTTTTGACAACGCGGAACGCTCTCTAATAGACAATTGCGTCCGGCGCAAAGGTGAAACCACATGCCACTGGATATGAAATGTTCTTAAATCTAGAACCATTACGTGCACTATAAGAAAGGAAAGGGTCAGATATTTAGCTACAAAAGGTTGCCGGTAGAGGGGAGTGATCTCCGCTATGCCTTGGTCCATCGTAGTAAACTAACTAACCTGCCTTCTTAGCGAGTCATCCTAATCAGAGGCAGGTTTGAAGACACTATCTCCAACCTCCTAAAGAATGCTCTGAACATAGTCGCCAATTGGTGCAGTAACAATAGGTTAAACGCAAATCCTAAGAAGCCTAGCATAGTCGTTTCTCCAGGAAAAGGAAAAGGGACAAATTGCTAGAACCATTCCTTCAAGATGAAAAGATACACTTCCCCAAAGAGGTCAAATATCTAGGAGCTATCCTTGATGCCAAGCTCTCATGAAATACGCACCTAGATAGAATTATTCAAAAGGCCAGGGCCTCTATCTGGACCTGCCGGAAATTTATGGGACGGAACTGGGATATCAGACCTAGACTGGTAAGGTGGATGCCATCTGCAAACTCATTCTCACCTATGCTGCACCCAGCTGGTGGGAGAAGGCAGAAGTAAATTCCACGCAGGCTAAGATCAGCAACAACGACTAGCCTGCGTGGGCATCACTGGCGCGATGAGAACAAACCAACTGCGGCTCTCGAGGCGCTTCTTGACCTACCTCCTCTACACTTTGTAATCATGAAAGATGCTCTATTATTTACAGCAAGGCTCATCTCAAGGGACAGTGTAGAGTACAAAGAGCTGATACATTATTCCACCGTTAGGCGAAACTACTATATCTGGATGAAGAACGAAGCGCAACATTACTGGCACATTATGTGCCATTGTAAAGCCCTCACCAGTGGCTATGTGGATCAAATATGACCAGTAGTTGAATAGAGGTTTATTACCTGCTCCCTTCTCTAAATCTAATCTAATCTAATCTCCAAAACAATTTAATGCGGCCTCGCTCCCGAATGCCTTATTCCCAAAAAGAAATTCCGATTCGAATTTCATGATTCGGACCTGGTTGATCTGCCGGTCCATCGAGTAGAGGCCGGCTCTGGTGCCTTGCTCTATTTTTCAACCATCAGTATAGATGGATATACCCTATTCTGCCTCTGGAGTTCCTACATCCCATTCTTTTCTGATCGGGAACCTAATACATAGGTAATTAAGTACTGAAGTTCCAAACTCCCATATATAGTCAGTGCTGGTTTCCATATCACATTTTATTCCATTAAACCGGCCCCTTTTTTATTGTTTTGTGGGTCATTTGTTTAGACAATCATTTTAAAGCTAATACGCTTATTTTATGTAAAATCATGCCGTGTGAGATAGAGTGCGGGTTTCTGGTTTAAAAACAATTTTTGTTACCATAATCATTTGAGTTACTCACCGTGTTTGAATCTTTACAGCTTCTATAGCGTTCTTCATAAGTTGCTCAATGTCCGTACTTTGTCCCTTAAGCTTTATTTCATCGCATAAGGCTTGGACAAATGGACTGCCTTTCTCGGTGCGGTACGAGACATAACCTATGAAAGTTTTATTAGTTATTACGCATTATTTTTATTTTTTTTTAAGTTTGAAATATTGAATGTAGATATAAATACGAGTACATATTTATGTAGTTACCTTCAAAAGTACTATAACATTTGAGTATTTCGCTGGGAGATCCACGTGGCATAGAAGCGTCTTTCTTATATTCACCTGGTACAAGTGAACCCTTGCAGGCTTGTATAATGAAAATTTTCGGCTTCTCCTTTAAACTTGGTATATCTAATATGGGATGTAGCATTGTTTCATCAACATTGTATTCACCATCGCTAGCCGCAACAGAGTCATGAGCACTTCCATGGCTTAGAATAGCAATTACTAGACACGAGTAATTGGTGAAATCCTTTTTAATCACTAAAAAATTGCAAATTTTTAGAAAAAATGCACCTATGTATAAGCACAAAATTTACTTATAAAATGGCCAAGGAAGGCTTAAATAAAGTAAGTAAAAAATTTTAGTTAAACGGTTTTATTCTAAAGAAATATAATAACGATGTTAAAATGAGGCTAAAAACTAATTTCATAGGTACCAGGTACCTGTCATCACCCCTCTCTTGTAATTATTTTTTAAACCCGCTTGACTTAAATTTTTTTAAAAGACTAGATTTGACCAAAATCAAGCTAAATAAAACCGACTAAAAAAAAGGCACTGGAAGGTCTTGAGTAAACGGCTTGTGTTCAACTTTACGCTACGTAGCGTATTACTTTCGTGCAGGTCGCAAATTTTGACATGGCAGCTACCCTTGCAACATCGATGAAGAGGTAATGCGTGTGGACGCGTTCACGAGAATAGTTCCTCGCACGATCTATGGCCGTATTCGTGTGGGCCACGTATTCTCAAAAAAAAAAAAAAAATAGAAACACGAACTGTAGACGGTTTTTAATGGCATGACATAATTCACATGTTCATAGTTAAGCGCATGAAAATGCAACGATTTCAAATGTTGTTTTAATCAAACATCAACGAAAAAGGTTTAATATGAAGAAGATTTCAATAAAAAAAGGCAAGTAAGAGCAGCGCTGTCTTCAGCTATGCCGAAGGCTTCATACCTTTCATGAACATCTGAAGATTTTATTTTAACAGATTACTGCATTTGAAAAAATGTATATTCTAACAGCATACATAAATAGAGGAGATACATATATAAAAAATCATATCTAAACAATCAGAGGTATGGAAGATATACTTTATATAGCACCAATCTAAGTGATTTTCACTGCTGTGTGATCGGTATGTAAACCGGTAACACAATTTAATGGGTTTAGCTTCCTACATAAGGGAGATATATCGCAAAAACTTGTATCTGAACAATCAGTGGTATAGGAGATAAAGCTTATACAGCATAGCTTTTGACGATTTTCTCAGTAGACTTTGTATTATTAGTTATAAAATAGCTTACGAAATTTGTCGGTTTTAGCTGTACCAATAAAGGAGTTTTAGAGTAAAACCCCATATCTGAACAATCAGTTGTGTGGAGGCAATATATAGGTTATAGTGACCGGATCTTTGTTAATTTAACTGTAAACTTTCAGCTGATACCGAGTGAAAATAGTGCGAAATTTCATGTTTCTACTTGCATATATGGAGAAGTTATAACAAAGAATCTCATATCTGAACAATTAGTTGTATGAAGGCTATAGGTTATAGAGACCCGATCTTCGCCATTTTCACTGTAAATATTTGTTTGATAATGGGTCTAAATATTGGGAAATTTGATGTTCCCTGCTGCATAAATGGAGGGGTTATAACAAAAAATCGAATACATATCCGAACAATCAGTTGTTTGGGAGCTATATGTAAAAGTGGCCCGATCTTATTTTATTTTCACTGTACGTGTTCCGTTGATAATGAGTGACAACGGTGCGAAATTTCATGTTCCTGGCTACTGAAATGGAGAAGTTATAACGAAAAATCTCATATCTGAACAATCAGTAGTATGGGAGCCATATGTTATATTGGCCCGATTCTCCCGGTTCCGATAAATGATTAATAAATTATAAAAATACACCCATCTACCAAATTTCATCCGGATATCTTGAAAACTGAGAGGCTAGATTGCATACAAACAGACGGACATGGCTAAATTGACTCAGCTCGACATTCTGATCATTTAAGTATACATTTTAATGGGTTTATCTCTTCTTATTCTGGTACTTACAAACATCAGACCAAAGTTATAATTCCATTTCGTGCTCATGAAAGGTATAATAACCATTCTGAATTTTTGGCTGTTTACTGAATTTCGAAGGGTTTTGGAACGTAGAACGTTATGTAAAGCTCCAATACGCCGTCAGTTTGAGGCGTTTTTTGAACATTTACCAAGCGGGGCTTAGAAAGTTTTCTTCACCGTCTTGCTTCGTGATATTGAGTTCAATATTTAAAATCTAGACAAAATCTTATGTGGAATTGAAATTATTAAACAACCAAACTTCTACTACAAAAAAGTATTTTCATTCCATTAAAAATACCATGGAATGTTAGGGAAACAAAAAAAGCCAATAAAAAATCAAATATGGCTCTTATGAAGCATTAAAACAAGATGGCAATATAAATTCACAGCTTTTTACAATCATTTCTTAAATTCCTTAAAGTGTGCCCGCTCCAAAACTAACTAAATAATTTGTTAAGAGTAAGCTCCGAAAAGCCGAATAAGATAACGTATCAACGAAGTAGGCACGAAACTATAACCAATAAAAAATAAGACAAGACAAGATTGCAGAAAACAGCGGTTTCTACGATCAGTACTACCTCTTTACTTAGTTACTTTTGGCTTGGTTTAAGGTCCTGAAAAATACAAGGCCTTACTCATTTGTGAGATAAGATTTTGTGGCTGACGTTAGAGCAGCACAGACCACTTTAATAGCTCACTGGGAACTGCATATAGTCAGCAATAAAGATGGTCGTACTAAAAATAAACCTAAATTTAACTTTACAAGTAACAAATAAAAAAATCATTTAAGCAGTTAATGTATACGCTTTAAATACTTAGCAAGTTCAACACTTACATGCTTTGACAACGTCCTTGATCTTTTTCACGGTCGGATTCTTGATGGTCTCCACATTCAACTTATACTTCTGCAAAGTTTCACGTATGAGCCTCGCATCATAGTCGCTACCATCACGTTTCTCAAAACGCTCCTTATCGTTAAAGTCCACAGTATTGAAAATAACGGCATAGCCAGGTTTTAACTTAGACTTCTTACCAATAGCGCCAGCGCTTAAAGATTTTCGAGGCTGAATTTCAAGCAGCGCTGAGGGTGTGCTGTTAGCGTTACGTGAAACGAAATTTGATTTCGTTGGTGTTGATGCTGTTACGAAAAGATTTGCATCGGCTGATGGACTGGAACTGGACGCGGTTGAGGGCTTCCCATATACGCTGGCATAGCTGGCGGCTAATGGTCCGCGTGCGCGATTAGCATAAGGTGAGACATAAGTTGTTGTTGAAGTCGCCGATGGAGATGATATTTTTACACTGGAAAGCATTGTTCGATTAGCTGTGAAACCAGTACCAGTAGGGACGCCTGTCGATTTTCGCGCGGGGACACTTGTGCTGGCAGCAACGCCTATTGGTTTACTACTACCATAATTAAACAGAGGAGAAGTGTATGTCCCAATACCATTTGTTGTTGTTGTACTGCGTGTTGTTTTGCTCAAAGGTGCGCTGCCAATAGGCGATGAGTTGCCGCTGAGCGTTGTTTTACTCAGGGGTGAGCTAGTCGAAGACAATGAGGTAGTAATTGGTGGCAGTGCTCTGAGCGGTGAAGGGTGCCTGCCAAAGTTATCGGTGAAATTGGGAAATGTTGAATTACTTTCGTTGAAGCCCCTCCATGCTGCACCCGGTTTCATAGTGGCCGTCGTTGTGGTGGTCATCCTTGCACCTGTGCCAGTTTGATCGAATTTCGTGCGCTGCTGTTGTACGAATGAGGTCTGTGTGCGTCCATTTGTTTGTGTGACGGTGGTCTCCTCTTTGGTCCAAGGTGTTGAAGATTTGAAAAAGCTAGCGTTGGCACCAGTTATGTTGAGCAGTTCATCCAGTTCTTCTTTAGTCGGTGTACGGCGTATAGAAATTTCTGTGACGCCAGCCGTTTGTTGATGCGTCACCGTTTGCCGTACAGTTTGTTGAGTGATTTTGTTGCGTTCATTGTCATAAATGGTCGCACTTTGCTCAGTTGTATTTGTTGTCTCCGATTGCGCAGTTGCAGTGCGTACTTTCATGCGCGGATCCTGATGCACCAGTGCATTATTAAACTCCTTAGAATTATTCGGTTCCTTATTTTTTGAGTTCCTCCAAAACATTCTTTCACGAATACGTTAGATGAATAAGTATGTACACGAGAACTAATGTATAACAACTAACTGTTTATATCAATATGTATGTATGACACCACACCACAAAATTTTATCAGCACCGAAGTGATTAGATAAGAGAGCGCTTTGCCTTCTATGATCGACTGCATTGAAATTGTAAATTTGGCGAAATAACAAATCAAAATTAAAAACAAACGCAAAAAGTTGTAATGAAATTTGGAAAATTTTGTATCATAAATTTAATTTTTCATTTGATTTAATTTAATATTTCTTTATTTGATTTAATGTTATTCCTAGTCGGAAATCAATGCTTTAAGCGGCGTGTATGCTCACAAAAAATTTAAATGCGAATAGAAGCTCTCACGATTTAGTAAATATTTGTTGTGACTCAGCCACTTCGTGCTGTACGGTTTTTTCTTGGAAGAATGTAAGAGAGACCGGAACAGGTTTTTAGCTAAAAGCCTGAGTTTGTAGCTGCATTTATTACAAACGATTATTCTTAATATCTCCATATAACATAAAATATATAAATATTTATGTATGCACCACTATACTCATACATATATATTAATGAATTTGTACTGTATACATGTGCATTAGGGTGTGCCTTATTGGTATTGATAAAATTTTTGTGTAAGCTACAAAGCAAGACTCGCCATCAATATGTTCATTTGGTTACAAAAGTGTGCTGTGCGAAACATTTTTAAAATCGTACAACGAAAATAAAATTTTACATAGAATAGGAAAAAGAGCGTATAAGTATTTGTTTGAAATAATGGGTTTTTGCACGCTTATCTTAAATATCGCTACACCATTTTAATATCTCGTCAGTTTTGGAAGTTAGAGAGCCTTTTCCACATAATTTAAGGACTTCGGACGCATGGCTTTCCACTATCCGCGAAGTCCTGCTTTATGGGTAAAAGTTGAAAAATAAGGCCCACCCTAATGTATATAAACATTCATACATGTGTACATAAATATATACATACATACATACAATGTAAAAAAGAGGCGAAGGTATTTTTCTTGAAAGTGAAGTTCCTAGTAGAGTCCGACCGATTAATCGGCATCGGCATCGGCTAGTATCGACACAACATTGAGCATCGGCATCGGCCTTTTTCGCCGATTCTTTGCCGATTCTTTGGAATTTCTTTTCACATATTCAGGTGAAGCGACAGACAACAGCCAACATCAAAAAACATTTGCAGATAGCTCACAAAAATTACTATTTTTCGTTTGAAGGTGTTTCACTATTTTTCCATACAAAAGTATGTTCGACAATTTTCTTTTATACGGAGGACACTGCCAGCAAAAAAAAATTACATAAATTAACGTTATTTTATAGCAGCTTGAAACTTGGACTCCATTATACTAGAATTAAATGGTTTACAAACCATACCAAAATTCTGATCAAAAAGTTTGAAATTTTGATGAAAGTAAGCAGAATTTTTCTAATTTTTGTACAAAGTTTGAAATATGAATTTATATGGTGTTTGTTGTATACCAGCTAGACTTTTGTAAAAAAATAATAATAAGCATTAAATAAACAAAAGACAAATGTCAAAACCGGTAAAAATATCGCAATTCATTTATTTCGTGGACCACTATATGTATGTACATTAGGGTGGTCCAAAAAAAGTAAAGTCGGAAATTTAATGCTCTCACCCCCCTAGAATTGTTCTATACCGAAAAAAGTATACCCCTGTTTTTTTATTTTAAAATCAAAATATATTTAGAGGTCGCTCAACGCGCCAAAGTTTCCCATGTATTTTGTATGGGAAAAAAAAGACTTTTCGTAGAAATGGCATAGAATCCATGAAAACCAAAATTTTTCAATCTGAAAACTCTGCTTCTCTTCAGAAGACTTTATTTAAACATTTTTTTAATTTTAACTATTTTTTAAGGGTCTCCGAAAAATCCAAAAAAAAAATCAAATATACAAAAAGAAATATATAAAAGAAAAAAAGAAAAAATAGTTAAAATTAAAATATGTTTAAATAAACAATTGGGCATTATTCTCTGAAGTCCTCTGAAGAGAAGCAGAGTTTTGAGATTGAACAATTTTGATTTTCATGGATTCTATACCATTTCTACGAAAAGTATTTTTTCCCCTTACAAAATACATGGGAAACTTTGAGCGCTTTGAGCGACCTCTAAATATATTTTGATTTTAAAATAAAAAAAAACCGGGGTATACTTTTTTTCGGTATAGAACAATCCAAGGGGGTGAGAGCATTAAATTTCCGATTTTACTTTTCTCCCATACATTTTTGGACCACCCTAATGTACATACATGCCTAGCATATAAGTTCTTATGCATTGAGTTCAAAAGAGTGTATTTTAGTACAACACGAAATGAAATTGTATGTTCCTACATACGTATGTAATGTTGTCTAATAAGCCGATTAATTCAATTACACTGTGAGACAAATGGTAGGGGTCAGTGATCGGGAAGGGTTCAAACTACCGGGGAAAGTTATATCGGTAAAAAAGAAGTTATACGTGTCCCGGCGTTTCGCCGAAATTATTAGGTATGTTTTAAATAAAAAAAAAAAAATTGTTTGTGGTCTGTGCTTATAGGTTTTAGAGCTTAGTCGTGGTACAAAATGCTCTTTCCGATAAAGTGTTCTAGCATGTGTAACCCAATCTTCTATGGAATACAAGTTGGGTGAATTCGACAGGATTCGCTCCAGTATTGTGTTTGTTTTTTTGTATGATCTAATGTCAAGTTGAAGAATTAGGTGCAGGTTTAAGCAATTTTTTTATTTTTAGGTACAATGTCAGAGTCAAAACACAACCTTTTTTAGTTTGGCACAGTAAACCAACAAAAAAGTTTTTGGTTGTGGAAAACCATGTATTTTCTAATATTTTTAATCTAATATAATTAATACGGGTGTTCTTCTTTTCCATTTAGAAAAATCCTAGTGGGTGAGAGCTTAATATTTTTTTTTTTTTACCACCCTAATGTAAACTGTTTGTCAGCCAATAGCTACATATGGAGTGGTGGCATGATACGAAAGGAATGTCCTAAGCACAATGGGGGGATCGCTTACCAAGTTTCATCGGTTGGTGTATAGCTGAACAATGGACGCTATGTGCTCTTATTCCACCTCTGCCCTGGAGATCACGGACGGCTAAAAACTGACGAAGGTATACGGACACTACAGCATCATTCCAGCAGAGGTTTATATCATCAGTGATTTTTGTTCGGAAATGATTCTGCAGACGCATTTAAGTATACAGCCATGTCATTTGCAGCGACAGTTAGGCTGCACAAAAAGCCATATTCTCGTGTGAGATCAAATCATGTATGGTATGGAAATGTGTAATGAGGTTGATCCCCTTGGGAGAACACAACGCAGTACAGCTGCTGTGGATGTCAGGCCACAAAGGCATATATGGCCACGAAGCGGCTGACAGGCCAGCAGGAATAGCAGCAGCTATTCGACCAATAGAACTAGAGCCCTTGCTGTGCGACCTCGCTTTATCGGGAAAGAGGTAAGAGCAGAGGAACGGTAACTTTAAGGAAGCTATAACTTCAAGAGATCGAGGGAACTAATCCCACTCCGAATACCAAATTTAAGATTTATAACAGGTTTTCTAAAGGATTAGTGAAGGATACGAGCCTACATGGGGACTAGTGCAGACGACTCCTGCCGCTGCTGAGACTCGGTAGCAGAAACCCCATTTCATCTCCTTTTACGGACATCCACTCTCTTCCCGCCCCCGAAACTGTTGGATTTTTTTATACCACAGGACCGGTATGAGATTCTGTGATGAGCTCTGAGGGAACACTAGAACCAAGGTCGCAGTGCACATTCCTTATAAAATCTATCTAGCTATTTATTTATGGAATTGTATGAATTAACACCTTGCGGAACACAATCACAACGTTCAAATCAATAAAAAATTAGCACGTAATTAATAGCCCTGACCGATCGATGTACATAGGTATGCCCACTTCGTTGAGTTACATAATTTTGTGCAATGCAATGACCGATGCCGGACGCCTCACACACACAACTACATACACGGCGAAGCGATGCACACAGCGACGTAATGTAGCCAAAAATGCAAGTTATTTTGACAGTTTGTAGGCTTTAAAGCCGGGAAGCCCAAAAAGGTGTCAACACGAAGGCGGCTGGGCGTGCGCATGCGGCGCGGAGTCGCGTCGCTTAAGTCAATAGCTGCGAAAATTATTGCGAATAAAGGGTAAAGCGAATTTTGTAATTGAAATACTTCGATTACCATTTACTAGAGTATATATGTGCATGTACATTAGGGTGGGTATTTTTTTTTAATAATGCGCGTATCGCATATTAGTATTCTATGTACGTGTACTTCTAAGCAAATTTACCGAAGAAGCCATATGTCTAAAATCAATTTGTAGTTTGCCATATTTGCGAAAATAGCTTTCGAAAAAATGGGATAATTTTTACTGTTACGTCCTCTGGCGGAGGTTTTAAGAAAAAGATTAGCGCAGAAATGGATTCTTCATACCAAAAAACCCCTTATAGCATGTTTTTATACAAATTTCAAGCACTTCTTTACGACACTACAGAAAAATGCTAAGAAACTTATTTTCGCAATTTGGCAAACTCCAAATTGGTTTTAGACCCACGGGTTCTTCTGTGTTATATGCGCATAGTCGAAAAAATCTCTCATACAAATCGAAGCGCCCTAATTTACATACATATTGTATTTTATCGAATGCACCATGTGTTTATTCTTATTATTGTTTTGAAGCGCAACTCGGAAATCGCATTGCGTATGCAGGAAGCGTACGCGCAGGTGTATGTATGTCTTCAAGCTAGCTGATATCGCGTAATCGCCTATGGCGAGTGGGTTAGCGTAGGCGACAGAGGCAAATAGTAACGCGCGTTCACGCAGTCGCATTGCGGGCGTGCGGATGCGCATCGAAATGATTTGTAAATTCATGCCAAAAATTAAATGCACACAGACACAGTTAATGTCAATAAAATTAATTGGGCACACAAAGTAGACAAAAATCAGCCAAAACCGAAAGTAAAATACTTACAAAAATTGTAAATCGAAAACCGAAACGCACACTGTGCAGCGCATTCTGGCGAAATCGAAACTCGTTAATCACGAAGTGGCGCACGACTCCCCACCACCACATTTTGCATGCATATAAAAGCGTTTTTTAATCCAAGCCACTATGTCAATTCAATACGATTCCCCGAACGCGTAGCACAGAGCACGGATTAACGCGAATACTCAAACAACTGATCTTATAAATCACATCACATCGAAATGCGCAGCTTACTCGTGATCGCCTGCACCTTAGCCATGGCTATGGCCATGCCTGAGCCACCTTCCCGCTATGGACCACCGCCAGCGCCACAAAAACAATATGGGCCACCACCCTCGGCACCAGCGGAGCAATACGGCCCACCACCAACACAGCCACCCTCGCAGCCACTACCCGTTTACGGTCCACCAGCACCCTTCTACGGTCCACCACCAGCCACTGAAGCTATTGTCACCAAGAATGTGTACGTGCATGTGCCACCAGAAGAGCCAGAGCTGTATCAGCCAGCGGCACCTATCCAAACTGCAGTGCCAAAGAAGCATTACAAGATCATCTTCATCAAGGCACCAAACCCACCAGCGCCAGCGCAACAAGTGCTCCCACCACCTGTACAGGATGAACATAAGACACTCGTTTATGTGCTTGTGAAGAAACCAGAGGAACAACAGCCATTAATATTGCCATCACCTGCGCCAACCGAACCCAGCAAACCAGAGGTTTACTTCATCAAATATAAGCAACAACAAAAGCCCGCTGCTCAATATGGACCACCACCAGCACCAGCTTCCGAGTATGGTCCACCAGCGGCGGAGACATTTTAAATACCTAGCAAGTACCTTCAGAGATGTGGTGTAGACGATGCTACTTGTATGTACATAGTTGAGCGCTTACTATTGTAAATAGATTTCAATCCTCCTACTTGTACTTAGCACCTACATATGTATGTACGTACGTACATATGTATATGATTTTTTAAATTAGTACAATTTTTTAAGCACCTTCCAGACACAATTTTTATGCGCATAATGTTGATTTTGTTATTTTTTGTTTTTGTTGTTATACCAAAAGTCCTATTAAATTATGACATACTTTAATTTAGGTCCATTTGGTTTCTTGATTGAGGGCGGTATGAGGGTTAGTTTTATGGTGATTCTTTCTACAAATTAGAACACTGTCCTTTGTAAATTAAAACATAAAATTTCTAAAAATTGTGTTTAGTTGTCTATATTTGGTGCTTTAACGAGTCCCCATAATGAAAACGATCTATGCGACATTTTGTTCAAAATTTTCCTTTTGATACAGAAATGTTCCTAGAGCATCAAGATCCATTGTTGCATCAAAAATAAAATTTTGAAAAAAATGCCGCTTACATCTTTTTCGAAATTATGATTTGACGATGATTTTGCTGGATGGTTGGTTTTCTCATTGTCATTACACCCTCATGCATAGGTCATCAGCTCAATAAGACTGTGTTTTGATAAGATTCATTTCGTGAAACAGCTTTAAAAATAGTGGAATATCTTTTCGTAGGCCTATTGACTTTGGCTCTAAATGCTTCAAGCAAGAGGAAGAAGTTATTGTACCTGGTTACAAAAAAAGGCGCAAAATACACCCGAAACAAAACTTAGTGTAGGTTGTAGTTAAGGTCGAGAACAACATGAAATTCAAAATTTTTCTACCAACCTCCTTAAAAAACCATTTTTACGTGTCTTTCCGCACTAAAAAAAATTAGCTCGGTTATTTTTTACCCAATTTTAAGTTTCCGTATGGCTACGGAAAGAAGAATATTTGCATTATTTAAAGGAATAATAAGTTTTGTGAGCATATTGTAAATGTGTAGACAATTTTTGGAATAAATCTGAAGTTTACACAAATTTTTATTCTTTTTCCCACTTCGACCACCTTTATTTCCAAAATTTCAAAAGAAAATACTCGCTTTCAGTTATTACTTCGAAAATAATGTTTAATTCCTAGTAAAACTGGGTACCATTTATAAAACTCAATAGACAATTTCGGAAGTTATGAATTTTGTAAATTTTTTTCAAAAATTTCTTCTATGATATTTCACCGAAAATTTGAATCAGTTGTATTGGATTCTCTTTGAGGTTTCATTGGTTCGTCTAGTTAAAATCAAGAAAAATTTTAATTTGTCTTTTTATAAGAAATGTAATAGCTAAGTTCATAATTTTTTTATGATTTTGGTGAATCTAGGTACCATTCAAATTAAACATTCTTTTCGACCTAATAAATAAAAGAGACCACTTTCTTTTGAAATTTTGGAAGAAATGTTGTAGAGGTGGGAAACATTATTAAAATTGGGGAAAATTACAGATTTATTCCAAACATTTTCCACATACATATTTGCAATGTGCTCACAAAACTTATTACTACTTTCAAAAGTACAAACATTCTTCTTTCCAAGGTCATACAAAAATTTAAAATTGGTTGAAAAACAACCGAGCTCAAAATTGTTTAGTATTTGAACTTTAAAAGACTTGGGCGAGCTTAAGATATTGACCCAAAATTGTCATCTTTCACAGAGATTGTTTTGAGAGCATTATGAACCATATTTTTGCTATTACCAATAAAAATTAAAAAAAAAAAACGAATTTTCGGCCCACGCTAATATAAAACCTTGGTTTAAGGTCACATTAGTGTTGTTATTTGTGAAGAGCACAATGACTTTCATGTCGGATTGGCGTTTAGTCCGCTCTCCCTCGTCTAGGTCTCTACAGACGGCGCCGGGACCCAGGCAAAATGACATCGGCGGGCCGTTTTAACTGGAATATTTTTTGTTTTGTAAATCTACGGAATCTTTGTGAGGGTTTATTCAGTATTAATTATAAGGGCTTATTTATTTTTTGCACTAACTACGAATACATTAGCGCAACGGTAATTTACTTGGAATAAAAGATTATTACAGTTAAACCGAAATTTCGTTTATTTTGGTATCTGCCTATGGTCAAGTAAAATGTGTTTTCAATGAAAATATGTATAAAAAAATAATACAACACATATCGCCACAATCTCATGTGAATTTAATTTAAAAAACTTTCCGGACTTTTTGGTCAGCAAACATTGATATGACGGATTCAAAATCACTGATAAGAGCAAGAGATGATTGCAGTACCAAAGCTCAGAGTCTATCTTGGTTAATTGAAGAAGTCAAAAACTTCTTATTAAGAGACTGAATAAAAGTTCGCCATCGACAACTGTCATTGGAATAGTCCAGAAGTTTCGAGTTTAGGAAATAATACATACATCTTCAATTTGTGTAACTTGTTTAAGAGTTGGAACGGAGGCAAATATTGGGCCCTAAAACGGATTGTTGATTAAAATCGTTTGGTTTCCGATAAGGCAGTCCTATCCTTGTCACGAAGCTAGGTCCCCAATATTTTCAGCCACCATACTGGATTCAATAAGCACTGACTTTTCAAAACTTAAGATTTTCAATTAAATTGTTTATGTTAGCATATTGGCAGAGTTTATAAAATTCGGTGTTTATGTTTATGTTAGCGCTCCATAGTTTCCATCCGTTTGTTTTTGAAATCATAGTCGCCATAGTTTTTTCTTTTCAAGGAACATATCGCACGTTTAATAACACCGTGCGACAAAAGCCAAACAATTTCAAAACGCACGAAACAGTCAATTTATTTACTCAGCTATGGGCCAAATATAGTAAAACAGCGCCTCAAGTTTTCTCTCTGGCGTCATTAATTTTTCTAAAAGGACTTTTAAATTTAAAAGATGTGATTAATTCAAAAACATATTTTAAAAATTCAGTGCTATGCAGAATAGCAATATGGGTACCGAGTGAAAGGGACAATTCTGCAGAATTAAACAAGTAATTTTTAAGCAAAAAACAAAACGGACTTCAAATCTCATATAAAAATTTAGGAGTACCCTTAATTTTTTCATGTCCTCTGAGATACTACCTTTCCGATGCAAAACGAATTTTCGTAATCGGTTGACGTGGTCCAAAGTTATGCGGTAACATACATAAAAAAAAATAAAATAAAATATTCCGACGAATTGATAACCTCCTCCTTCTTTTGAAGTCGGTAAAAAAAATATAGCATTTTGGTTCACAAGAACGAATAAGTATTGAAAATGTTCTTTTAATAATTTTTTTTTAAGCTAATTACGTTTGAAGGACGAAATTCAGGGATGTGGTCGCGTGTATATTGTTCGTTAACATATCATTTTAACAAAAATAAATATTGCAAATTTTGAAGAGTATTCAAGGATACAATTTTAAGAGGACATTTTCAATACCTATTCGTTCTTATGCTCCAAGAAGTTTTATCTTTCTTAAAGCTTTTTTAATAATTAATTTTGCCTTTTATTTGATACCCACACTGTCATTCAACATTGCACTGAATTTCTCAAATATTTTTTTTGAATAAATCATCTGTTTAAAATGTAATAAAAAAACTCGGATGATAGAGAGAAAAATTAAAAACGCATTTTCACTGTTTTTGATTCCTAGTTTCTCGAATAAATTGAGTTTTAGGTGTGTAAAACGGTGATGGGCAACGCCTTGCCAGCTCTTTTAAGCTTTCTACACATTTTGTATAGGCGCGTGCAGATTAAAATCTTTCTCTGCCCATCCCTGATGTAAAATTACTGTTGCACGGTGTAATATGGAGAAAAAATTGGAAATTTACGTTTTTGGAGAATATGTTCAGTCTAACAGATAACTAAATTTCCCAAAAATGACGAAGATATGTGCCTTTCGATCTTTCTTTTGTATACCAACTGTATGAATTGATCTAACTTTGATTGCGTTTTCCCGCAAAATTTAAATTTTGAAATATGAGTGGAGGCTGAATACACATAAGATATTAAAATAGCTGATAGAAATGAATAATAATTTTATTTTTCTATGTAATCTCCCTCTACTTTAATGCACTTCTTATATTTATCGTAAAGGGCAGTGGAAAATATTCGCCGTAATTGTCTTCGAAATCATCATCCACTGCCGCCTTCGTTCCTTCTTCGCTCGAAAATCATAGTCCGCGGAGGTTTTTCTTCAAATTGGAGAATAGGAAGTATGGTGGGTGGGTGGTTTCTTCAAATCCAGTCACGCCCTGGGTACGCCTTGCAACTCGCGCAGTATGCCCCGTGCATTGTCCTGCAAAAACCGGACTCCTTGGGCCTTTCCGTTTCTCGACAACCACTTGACGCACTTTTATAAACAATGTGGCATAAATAGTCTCCGTTTATTCTAGTTTTTTTTTTATGAACGAATACCTCCACACTCCCAAAACACAGCGGTACGCCCTGACCAGCGATTTTACTGAAACACTTGAATTCTAGGCACCAATGTTTGATGGTGGCAAACTAAGGTCCAGACTCCCCATCATCTGTGGACATCATATAACTCCGTTGCTGTTTTGCATTTTTTTTTTCTGTGAGCAATTTGATGAATGATATTAGCAACTAGTGGCACGGAGGACAAGACATTAATGACACTTAAACATGCTTAGGCTCAAAACTTGTAAGCCCATCCTAATAATTCTCTATATTATTTAGCGTGCGATATGTATGTATATTTTTCACATTAAAAAAAGGGACACAATCCTTATTTCAATTTAGTTATTTTATTTCAAGATTTATGATATTTGGATTTTTCGCAATTTTATTTCATTTTCACAATTTTATTCATTGCCGCTGATATTCAGCCGGGCCCGGGGCAATTGAACACCTCTACTTTCAAAACCCCTAAAGTACACATTTTGAAACCGACACTTGACGTTTTGCAAGCCACGCCTAAGACCTGGAAAATCATTGCTTCCCAATCCCTGAACCGTTAATGACTTCCTCAAGCAAGTTAAACTTTTATCAGGAATCCTCTTCCGGTAGAAGCTCAGCCTGTTATATCATCCACTACATCTTGCAGAATTTTTCTAGTTAATGATTCTCTTTGCTTGCCTTTAGCGCCTCCCTTATATAACAGAGTTAATGTAGCTGCTTCAATTCGATAAAAATGTCAGACTTCTTCGCAAAACTGCATCAATGATTTATTTCTAGATGTTATGAATACATACATACATACATAAATAAAACACACAATTAACATTTCGACATTGAATTTTATTGATTTAGTTAAGTTTTTACATACATATGTTTATCGCATGTTT